TAGATAATAATAATAATAATAATAATAATAATAATAATAATAATAATAATAATAATAAAAACAGAAAGTAGTTGCAGTTTTCTGTCACTTTTAGTCATTGTTTTCAGTTGCTGTTTTCTCCTTTTTTTTTCTTTTTTTCTAAAAGTTGTTTACTGCTCTCTTTAGTAGCTGTTTACTGTTGTTTTAGGTTGCTGTTTTTTTTTGTGTCAGTTTCATTTTTAAATGCTGTTTTCTGTTGCTGATTTCTGACATTTTCTTTTGTTTTCAGTCACTTTTTCCAGAGGAAAAAAAAGTCGATTTTTTTTGTCATTTTCATTTGATGTGGATTGTTATATGGGTTTTTTTTGTTTTTAAATGTAATAAGCTTTTATGTATTTTATAATTGTATTTTATTGTAAAGCATATTAATTCCTGCCAAAAATGTGTTTTGTGAGGTCACACTGATCTTTGACCACAAAAATTCAATCAGTGCATTTTGGACTGAAAGTGAACATTCTTGCACAATTAGAAAAAATCCCTCAAGGTGGCCAAACACCTGGTGTGACATCACTGTCTGGGGGCGTGGCCTGTAGTGCAACTTTCCTGAACTTGCAAATCAGCGTGAGCCACCATGTTGAGCAATGATAATAATAATGAATGAAAAATAATAATAATACTCCAGTGTCGCTGCGCTTGATTTATTGGTTTGTCGACCAACTAAGTACTCCTCACTCTTTTGAAATGACAGTTTTCCTTTTAATTTTCCTTTTTTCAAAAAATTGAATTTTTAAAATATTGATAAAACTACAAAAACAGACAGTGAATTTACATGTCTAGCATAAACTAACTGACCATAACAAAAACATCACAAGTATGTCCTTTTTATTTAATTAAAAAAACAGGTGCTTCAATTTATCTGTTGAAAGTTTCTGTGTTTTTTTTATATATTGCAATATATATCACAGGGTTAGAAGAAATTGCAGTGTCAGTTTTTTACCAACATTGTGCAGCCCTTTATACATATATATATACGTGTGTATGTGTGCAATTTAACATAATATGGAGAAAGTTAAAGTATGAATTATTAACTGCACTTTAATACCGGGGTAAACTTAGCACCCTATAGCACATAAAGAGGAAGGAAAACTAAGCATTTTAACAGACAGCAGGGGAAATGCATTCAACAGTTTAAAATACCACCTGAACAGGCCTAATATTGACTTTCTAAATATCCCTGATTAATTTAAGGTGGTGGTAGCATATTAAGTCAACTAAAGATATTTAGTGATTATAAACAACGCTGCTATCGTCCAGAATAAGCTAGCAAGTTAGCATTGCTCTGACACAGTAACTACGATCCATTAACCTGACAATTCTCACCAGAAATGTTTGACAGCGTACCGAGGGGTTCTCTTAGCGACATTCCCTGGCTAACTGACGTGTATTCAGGCAAATATTTAACCACAAGCGCCGATGCAGTTTCTCTACCTTCGTCTGCTATTCGTTAGCAAAGACGGTTCGCTAACGTTAGCTGCTAACGTTAGCAGCTAAGACGCTAACGTAACGTCTTTGCTGCTAACATTAGCCGCTAAGACGCTAACGGAATGTATTTGCTGCTAACGTTAGCAGCTCAGACGCTAACGTAATGTCTTTGGTGCTAACATTCGCCGCTAAGACGCNGATGGATGGACAAACAGCAGATTTCTTTTCTATATGAATTCGGTCAGTGGAAACGATATTTAGAAGGTTGCTGTAGGTTTAACATCAGACTACAAGTACTTTTTGTCACCTTCTGTTGTTGTCGCAGCTCCTTGATCTCGTCCTTCAAGTTGTTTTTCTCACCATGAAGCTCACCAATGATCTTCATAGCCTAACACAGAACCATAGACAAATCAGTTTAAATTTCAATTCGTTTAAAACATGTAACAAAATAAAAATGTTCAACATTTAAACATTTGACAGAAAGTAAGAAACTTAAATGTTACACCATCACTCTTTCATTTCCAGTTGCTGTCTCCTCTCATTTTTATTCCGTTTTCAGTCACTGTTTTCTGTTGTTTCCTGTTGCTGTGTTCTGTTGTTTTCAGTCACTGTTTTCAGTCCTTTTCAGTATTTTTCAGGTGCAGTTTTAAGTCGTTTTCAGTCACTCTTTGGTTTTGTTTGTGCTAAAAAAAAACTACCTGATAAGGTTGAAGAAAAGATCATGCTTTGGGCTAAATACATTCATTAAAACACACGAAACGTACAGCTCCGGTTATTTTCTGAGTTGTCAGGTTGATAAGTTCCATCACAAATATGACGCTGAATAAATCAAAGACATGTCACAGTTTTACAGCATTAATTCTGTCGATTAAAATGATACATTTAAATTCCTTCCTCTGACCTCTGACCTCAGGCAACGACGATTTGTTGGAGATGACACAAATCAAGCTGGTGCCTGTTTCCACTGGCTGGTAATCGGTTATTTGAATTTCCTGTGAGGGTTTGTTAGCAGAGCAAACACCTAAATGTTTAATCTGCTGCCTCGCCACTGAAACAAAGGAAATTCCTGAGGTGCTGTTTAACTGGCGTCCAAAGTGAAATGATGCATTTAGACCCCACACGGCTTCAATGACTAACTGCCTGTTAATGAGTTCAGTCACGCTTTGTCTCAGCAGGAAGCTTCAACGATGTGTACTTCGATTTATAGGATTTTATTTATCTCCAGGACACAACATCTTTAAAAAGTTGCTGTTTCAGGGTTGAATCTGAGGGCAGTTATCCAGTTACATTGATCTGTTTTAAATCAATGTCAAACACGTTATTTTAAAGTGCGCAAAATGTCAAAACTTTAAAGTGGACACTGGATTTAAAGATTGGGCCCCAAAGATATGCAAAAAAGCATTAATATGACTAGTACTAAGAAGAAAAACAGCAATTAAATAGTTTTCTCCAGTTTCATTATTAGAGTTTCATTTACTCAAGAACCACAGACACATTTGTTCATCGAATGGTCAGAAGTAAGAAAATTCCCATTTTCTGTTGTTTTCTGTCACTGTTTTCAGTTGTTGTTTTCTTTTACTGTTGCATTGTAGACCAACGTGACTATAAAAAAAAATAAAACTGTGTGACTGGGCTTGTGATGGAGCATTTAAGATGTTCTGCTGCGTCACAAAGCAACCAGCAGCACCAGGAGGTGGAGGTGATGGTTCAGTAACAGCCTTCAGCCTTCAGCCTTGTTATTCTTTAAGCTGCTGCCTCATTAGGAAAAATCAGTCATTAACTGAAATCGGCTGTTGCTGCACTTTGAACAAGAAGCGTCACCACAGGGGAGTTTAAAATCCAGTTCTCTGACAGATAAACAGGTGGGTGGAGGTCACACCGGGTCACCTGGTCATGGTTAATCCAGCAGAAACACCGACTGACCCGGACCGAGCCCACAGAGGACATGAATGATTCAGACGGGCTTCAGCATCACCTGCAGCTGCCTGATGGAGCTATTCATCACCTGACAGCCAGAGTCATCTCAGCAGGGGGCTAATTACCCCCAATTACCCCGAGGAGGAGTCTGGACCAGAACACTGCAAACACACTATCATTCAACTCTTCCTCTCTGAATTTATATTTTCTGTCTTTTTCAGGTTAGCGTTGATCCAGAGCTGTTTCTGCTTGTCTTTAGGCCCAATGGAAACCTGAACAGAGGCTCTCGGAGGTCATTTGAGATGTCAGGTGTCGCCCATCTGCTATTGTTCTCTGCTCTGTCATCAGCAGCTCAGCACCACGCTGAAATGTTCGACAGATGGAAGAGAAGAAGGAGGAGGAGGCATGATGCTGGCTCACACTCAGAGCTCTGACAGGAAACCAGCATCGACCAGGGTGTAGATTTAGTTTGAAAACACTTCAAATATGGAGACAAATCCTGGTC